CCCACTCGGCTCTCCTCTCTCCTTGCGTACGGCTCTTCTCGCGTATATGAAAAGGTCGTCTGTAAAGACCCTCTCCGTTCATCACCGTTCGTATGCGACTCCGCATCAGCAGCGTGTAACTTCCTGCATAGAGTCGCTCGAATATGCTCTCGGTGTCCGTCGTGTACTTCGCCGGCAGCGTGAAAGAATTACTGCCGTTCGAGAGGCTCGGATTGATGCCGAGCATCGGCTTCGTATTGTCCGTAATTAGCTTCGAGGCTAGCAGAAACGTGCCGTCGCCGCCGATCGGGACTACCAGGTCCGCCCAGTTTATGAATTTCCACGCGTCTTCGATCCTGCGCGGCAGGAAATTGATAAACAACGCGCGAGATGGAAGGTTAAATCGCAATTTTGAGCAAATAACCCGAGTCGTAGAAAGGAAAGGAATTTTTAAAAGCTGAAAGCCGAGGGGAAAGAAAGATCGGAGGTTCAGGGCGCAACCTTTTCGTGATGCGAAAGTTAATGTCGAGCTTCTTGAGAACCGCAGCCAGATTTTGCTCGCAAGCAATCTGTCGTTGATGCTCGGTGAGAATTTCCTGCGGATCCACGCTTCCACGCTCCTTCAACTTTGACAATATTTGATCCTCGTTCAGATCGGGATTCCGAGACCGCAGGAACTCCAAAGAGGACAGCTTCGATACGCAGAGCACCCGCCGCGGTCGACAAGGCGCGTTGTTTAAGCAGCTGAAGATTTTCATGGTGGAAGATTTTCATGAAATCGATCTGGACGACGAACGTCGATTTAGGTTAGATTATCCCGAAAAATACTGAGATCGTTTGGAGCAAGCGGCGCAGTCACTTTCGGATCAATATTAATTAAACGGGGGGGAGAAATTAGTTTGCTTTCGTTCTGACATTAAACATTGGACCGAGAGATTGTTCCATTGCCGTTGCTTTCCAAAATCAAATATCCAACAGTATCGCGTAACACCGACCAAGTTTCAACTTTATTTTGGCGAATTATCGACCGGTTTATTCCGTTTATTGGGGGCTGGAAATTTCGTTCCAAGCGCCTTTATAACTGCATCATTGCTTGATAAATCCTGGGAGTAACCAGATACATTTACCCCTGGTTAATGGTTTATTTTGTTACCTAATCCGATCCGGTGAAACTCGGCACTTCGTTCGGTGTTTCTAAAAACACTTTCGCGTATCAGGTTTAAATCGCGAGTAACAATTACAAGAATTATCGACGAAGTTCGACTCGGCGAATAAAACGAAGATTTAAAAAAAAGAAAAAAAATTAAAAAAGAAGAACGATTGTAAATAAAGGACTCTTGTCAACTTTTACAGTCCAGCGAACGATGGTCAGTGAATAAATTTAATAATTTCAATGACTCAGAATAATTAAACTAAAACATGTTTAATCATCGAATAAGAACGATTAGTAATTTTATATCGTAATCTGCGGAAAGGTAATCTTGGGTAAAAAATTTTCCCAAATTTTTCGACTGTAGCGAGCATCCACTCTTCGAGGTAGTTCGCTGTAATCAACTTCCTCCATCTAAACTCCAAGATCTCTCACCGTGGCTTATACAACCGTCTTTGCTTCTCAAATGACTACTCGCTTCGTCGTCTCAACTTTGCAAATCACATCGCCTCTCTGCGGCTTCGCAACATCGGACGTTGCTTCAACTTGCCAGCCAGGGGAGGGGAGGGGAGGGGAGTGAAGAGTATTCGCTGCCGAGATGACGGCGCGGTGCCGCCGTCGTAGGATACGTGTTCTTCAGGATTACTCGCGTGTTCTAAGTGATACACTCGGCACTCAGGCGGTGAGTGGAAGCCGCGGTGTCTTGTACGCTGGCTTCTGGCAAACTTCGGGGCAAGGAAAGTTGCGCGAAATTTTCGTCTCAATGGACACTGACCATTAAAGCCACTTAAGGTACCAGGATCTTCCCTTAAGCTTGCTCGTACGGGGGATGTTCCGTCGGCCACGAAATATTCCTCTAACAGCCGAGATTTTAGCCGAGGGAAACTCTGAAGAGTTCTCGAGTTTCCTCGAAAGCCATCGTTTTACGAGCCTCGTGACATTTTTACCTCTTCCCTCATATTTCCGGATACGTATCTCGTACGGTGGTAACCGCTTGGATTCGCCAGTTGTTCGTCCATCGACCTGGCCGTCGCGGTCAGTGACACCTTGTTTTCTTTTTTTTTTTTTTTTTTTTTTTTTCTTTTGGAAAACAGCAGCGGGGAAAAGAGCGAGGGGAAAAAGGGTGCACAGGAAACGAGTTTCCTCGGGTGGACGAGGAAGAGGAGAAGGGGTGGAATTATAGCGAGGCGGAGTGCGAGAAAGCCGTATAGGTATACGTATCTCTCTCGGTAGAGCGTCTTGCACACACGGTTTTTGGCCGAGCCGAGGTGGTCTAGTCGAGTTTCCGGTAACCGAGAGACAGAAGAAGCTCGCGGCGAACTTGTTACAAGTTTTCGTCTGGAGGATAGCTGACCGCGAAAGCCATTTACGGCGCCGGAATGTTCTCTTAAGACCCGTTGTCGCGAAATATCCAAGCGTTTTATATTTTACGAGACGCGCACCGCTGTTGAAACTTTGCTCGCACTAGTAAAGGTGGAATATTTCTCTCCTGTACGCGCAATTATCGTTGTTATTTGCATCTATCTTCTGATGCATTCGAAGGTGTGAGAAATTCGAAGAATCAATCGAAGCAATCAATCAATTTTAATAATACAGATTCTAAATGAAATTTCACTCCTTGCAATTTTCATAATACCTGTGGAATTCGCACTTCTCGAAGATTCATCATCTATTTTTCGCAACGAGACGAAAGAAAAAAAAAAAACAAAATAATTGCACTGTGCAGTTAAAATGATAGAGATGATATATGGGATGAAATTTCTGTAGATGTAATTATAATTACTTACAGCACAGCTTGGATAAATACGTACGTTTCTTCTCTCTCTCTCTCTTTCTTCGAAGTAACAAAAAAAGAAAAAAATTACCGCATTTTCCCCCTGCCTGCACCCTTTGCAATTTTCTAAATTTCATGCATATGCAGCCGGGTGGCCGGGTTTAAAACGCCTTGTTAAGGCTACTGCTACCGCGGGGACACGATAATTGTATTTTCCTAGAATTTTTATTACACTCGGAGACATGACAACGAGCCACCCGACAGTAATTACACGTCGTACGCAGGTTTCAGCTTGAAGCGGATGCCGCGGCAACCAGAGAGTTCTGGTACGTTGGCCACCGGCGAACTTTGCAACAAACTTCCACGTTCTTTCCTTCTCCGCGCGGCGGTTGCTGACCACCAGGGCCACTTATAATGTCGCGACATCCCCTGCGGCGAAGAAATTTGTTTAGCCGGAACTTTTAAGCCTGGGCAACGCTTCGAGTTTCGCTCCTCGTTCGTGATTTTCCAAAAAATTCTCACACGCAACCCGCCCACTGCAAACAATTCTTTTCTTTCCTCGTTGTTCATCGATCGTTGAAATTTTGCCGGCTGTACTAACGCTATACGCTGCGTTTCTTAATTACGTTTCACGACACTGAAGCGGCGCGAATGATTGAAATCTAATTACCGAATGATTGAAATCTAGTTCAATTTTAGACCGTTGCCTCGCGAAGGTTTAAGAAAAACGACGATTCGGTCTTTGCAGAGATTAACTTCCGGCAAAGAATTTCCACGCTGGGGACTTTTACTGTCAAAACAGCAAACGGGCCCTGTATTTACCTGAATTTTTCTACTTCTATCGGATAAAATTACTGAATTGAAAGCGAATGATTTTGGTTGACTTCACGGTTTCTTTATTACTCAATTCAGCAGTGCGTACGGGCACGGAATTGTAATTATCGTCTCGATTGAATTGAAATCGGTTCCTGTCAGTACCACGAGTTGAAAGAGTGACAGTAACTGGTAGTTGTGTAACAAAACATCCGATTCGCAGGTGAGCAACAATATCTGTTTGCGTTCCAGCTACTATTCCCACTGTCGTACGGACAGTATCTGTCGCTGTATCTATTGTAGACTTTATTAAGGTTTGAATTATACCGATTGCACGCGTTGTTACGATTCGGATGATACCGCGCGTATTTTTGGAGCGTATCACCAGCTATGGAGTATCTGTAGAGACTGTTTATCCTGCCAAGCTGACGGGATACAGGCGCATTTTCGAACGAGCGAGAGTTTCGCGTCCAACAGTCTGCTGTCGGCCAAAATTCGCTCGGTTTCGGCCATCTGCCCGACGAGACGCGACTGCAACGGGATCCATGATCTGGCCAACGATTCATAAACGATTCGCAAGAGTTTATACCGTAGGCGGTTGAGCAGTTCAATCTCAGACTGCTTCTAATTATATCGCACTGAACCGTGCAATGGCTGACCAATGGTCGAACGCTAGAGCAATGTAAGAAACTGTCTCTTATTGTCGCGTCCGAACAGCAAATTTCGCCCGTGCGGATACAGATCATTCTGCAGTCCTTCTTAATCCGTGGCTTGTCCAACCAGTTAGTGCAACAATTGGATATTATCGTCCCGGCATCAAATATATCTCTCTTTTGTTCGTACGTACAGGTTGCTTTATCAACCGGAAGCGAGTCTGCTGGACCAACGGAGATATCTTGTGTTTCAACGCGATCATCTAATTTCCCAACTGATTTTACATCCACGATCGACGCCTTCCTGACTGGAACTGACTCTTTCTTCGAAGTTTCGAAGACTTTGTCATCTTCTTCATCCAACTCTTGCACCGTCGTTAACGTCGTCTTCAAGGGCCTCTTTTCCTTTCTTTGCAACGTCGGTACCGACTCTATCGTCGTCGGTGTTTTCAGAAAACTACTTTGTATCTCCGGCTCGTATACTGTTTGCGAGCATTCGCTTATGATTAAATTTGGACAGGTCTCGTGACACATGGGACTGGCGAATTTCATTCCAAGTATCTTGATCGGTATGCACGGGCCTATCGCTGCCGGACAAAACACACGGACGTCTTCGCCCATGCCATTCTTTCGCGACGATCTCTGAGCTTGGCCAATGGAGAAAATGCAGCTTATTCGCGAACAGCTTTCGGGGAAATCCGACTCTGTCACGTTGACGCCTTTGCACCTGTACACGCGAAGAATCGCGCACTGGTCGCCGTAATATTCCGGGACGACTGTACCAGGTTTTGGTTCCTCGGTGTCCTCGTCCGCTTCGAAAGACAGATCTGTCATTGAATATATGTCTGTAGTTACTTGTGCATCGTCGGTTTCGACGCGTGACTCGACCGCGATGTCTCTGGTTAGGCACTCTTCTACCTGGCTGCATGGTTCTTGACAGTACTCCACTTCCGACGTTATCAATCTCTTTATCGGGCGTTCGTCGTCGTCGGTGGACGTATGCTTGGAATTGAAAACGTTCGTAGTCATTACGACTGAGTTTCTGGTCCGTGAAAAATTCCTTTACAATTTCTGTGTTTCGGAAGAGAGGCGTTGGAAAATTGAACTAGTTATTTTTTATATCTGTTTCTTTTCGCCTCGATGATTTTTGTTTACCTAAGTGCATTTTTCGAGATTTGGTCAAGTGACCATTGTTTTGACATCGAGATCAAGCATTTGGTACAAATTGGTAACTTGTATTGGTAACGTCATG